AGTTTTAGTTTTCTGTTTTCATTATTATTAGATCCGTTTTGTTTGCTAACAACCGTGTTTTTCTTTTCCCTTTTCGTCCCAGGGGGAAAGGGACCGTTGTGTAGACTAGAGGCCCATGGGCATGCATCACCCGCAGTGAGTCTCTGTCTAGGAACACTAGCTAGACCTGGGCAGACAACCACCTGTATTTTTGGTTAGCGTGCCAAAGCTACGGCACTCTATACAGGAACTAGCCTGTGTATTTTTGTTTGTTTCATTGCTTTGGTTCTGCCCAGCCCGTCTCCCTGCAATCCGTGTGATTAGAGAATAATAAAGTAATCTATACACGGTAAAACTGTTGTGTCCTACTTGCACCACGACCCCCACATGCCCCCTGTAGTGATACACTTGGGTCTTAGGCTGGTGCGTAACAATGGTCCATGTTGTAAGCAGTTAATGGTTCATGTTGTAACCAGTTGATGGTTCATGTTGAACCTCGGCGTGACACTCGACAGCCGACTCTCCCTGACTCCCAACATCACTGCGACAACACAATCCTGTAGATACTCGCTCTACAACATCAGGAGAAAAACGTCCCCTTCTCACTCAGAAGGCAGCGCAGGTACGGATTCAGGCTCTTGTCATCTCACAACATGTATTTCAAGTCACATCACTAGCACACGAACATGTTGCAAAGAGATGCAACACTATCTGGTGAAATGCAGTTCAACAGGAAGCAGCTGTTCCCCATTCTAAGAATAACGTGTCCATACGTAGAACTACGCCTACTTTGTCTTATTGCTTTGATTTAAGTCTCCAGTCTCGTCCTTGTTTTGCTCGCTCGATAACATCTTCAGACTGAAGACACACCTCTTCAGATTCTACCCTCCACTAAAAGACTAACAAACTGTACTTATAACGGTTCATATGTGTAGCAAGTTGCAAATCACCTTATTTTATGAAATTCCACTTTCTTGTTTCTTGTTTGTATCCTTATGGTTGAAATGCACTTATTGCAAGTTGCTTTGGATAAAAGCCTCAGCTAAATTACATGTGATGTAATGTAATGAATAAGTCATGCCTTCATAGTTTAGGTACAAGCTCAGATATAAATGATCCTTTACAGAATGGTAAATGCACTGTACTTGTATAGCGCTTTTGTAGTCTTCCGACCACTCAAAGCGCTTTAACACTACATGACATCATTCACCCATTAACACCCATTCATACACTGATGACAGGAGAACCACACACAGTGACACCTGCCCATCAGTAACTAACATTCATACGCTGTAGCAGCTACAGGAGCAATGTTGTGTTAAGTGTCTTGCCCAAGGACACAACGACATGCGGGTTAGCCAGGACTGGGATCGAAGCCACAACCCTCTGATTGGAGGACGACCTGCTCCCCACTCACCCATGGTTGCCCACAAAATTTGGTCCTCGGGACAGAGGATGTCGTATGTGTACAGACTGTAAAGCCCTCTGAGGCCCCTTCCCCCCTCATCACATATAATACTCTTTGTAATCAATCGTTGCTTTGAATATTTTTTGAATATTTTTTTTCCACCAACCATCGTCCCACTGCTTCGCTATGAAGATCACTCCTTTTGTTTTCCTGGCAATATTGTAGAACGCAAGAGATGTGGCAAACACAGGTTTCCTTCCACACTATCACAAATAATAATCTTTGTAATCAATCATTTCTTAGAATATTTCTTGAATATTTTCATGAATATTTCCGTGGATATTTCCGTGAATATTTTTTTGAATATTTTTTCAAAAAAAAAGTTGAAAAGATGAAAGTTTTGAACTTGTGTGGTTTTGCAGCACAAGAAGAATGTGATTCATGAAAATATTCAAGAAATATTCGACAGAATGATTGATTACAAAGAGTATTACATTCTATAAGGGGGGAAGGAAACCTGTGTTTGCCACATATCTTGTGTTCTACAACATAGCCAGGAAAACAAAAGGAGTTATCTTCATAGGGAACCAGTGGGAGGATGGATGGTGAAAAAAAAATATTATAAAAAAAATATTCAAAAAAATATTCAAATAAATATTCAAAAAAATAATCAAAACATATTTACGGAAATATTCACGGAAATATTCATGAAAATATTTAAGAAATATTCGAAGGAATGTTTGATTACAAAGAGTATTACATTTGATAAGGGGGGAAGGAAACCTGTGTTTGCCACATTTCATGCGTTCTACAACATTGCCAGGAAAACAAAAGGAGTGATCTTCATAGGGAACCAGTGGGAGGATGGATGGTGAAAAAAAAATATTATAAAAAAAATATTCAAAAAAATATTCAAATAAATATTCAAAAAAATAATAAAAACATATTCACGGAAATATTCAAAGGAATGTTTGATTACAAAGAGTATTACATTTGATAAGGGGGGAAAGGAAACCTGTGTTTGCCACATATCTTGCGTTTCTACAATATTGCCAGGAAAACAAAAGGAGTGATCTTCATCGGGAACCCCAGTGAGAGGAATGGATGGTGAAAAAAAAATATTCAAAATAATATTCAAAAAAATAATCAAAAAAATATTCAGGGAAATATTCAGGGAAATATTTATGAAAATATTCCAAGAAATATCCAACAGAATTTTTGATTACAAAGAGTACTACATTTGATAAGAGGCGAAAGGAAACCTGTGTTTGCCACATTTCTTGCGATCCTACAACATTGCCAGGAAAACAAAAGGAGTGATCTTCATAGGGAACCAGTGGGAGGATGGATGGTGAAAAACAAATATTATAAAAAAAATATTCAAAAAAATATTCAAATAAATATTCAAAAAAATAATAAAAACATATTCACGGAAATATTCACGGAAATATTCATGAAAATATTTAAGAAATATTCGAAGGAATGTTTGATTACAAAGAGTATTACATTTGATAAGGGGGGAAGGAAACCTGTGTTTGCCACATATCTTGCGTTCTACAACATTGCCAGGAAAACAAAAGGAGTGATCTTCATAGGGAACCAGTGGGAGGATGGATGGTGAAAAAAAAATATTATAAAAAATAATCAAAAAATATTCACGGAAATATTCACAGAAATATTCATGAAAATATTCAAGAAATATTCAAAGGAATGTTTGATTACAAAGAGTATTACATTTGATAAGGGGGAAAGGAAACCTGTGTTTGCCACATATCTTGCGTTCTACAATATTGCCAGGAAAACAAAAGGAGTGATCTTCATCGGGAACCAGTGAGAGGATGGATGGTGAAAAAAAATATTCAAAATAATATTCAAAAAAATAATCAAAAAATATTCAGGGAAATATTCAGGGAAATATTTATGAAAATATTCAAGAAATATTCGAAGGAATGTTTGATTACAAAGAGTATTACATTTGATAAGGGGGAAAGGAAACCTGTGTTTGCCACATATCTTGCGTTCTACAACATTGCCAGGAAAACAAAAGAAGTGATCTTCATAGGGAACCAGTGGGAGGATGGATGGTGAAAAAAAAATATTCAAAAAAATAATCAAAAAATATTCACGGAAACATTCACGGAAATATTCACGGAAATATTCATGAAAATATTCAAGAAATATTCAAAGGAATGTTTGATTACAAAGAGTATTACATTTGATAAGGGGGGAAGGAAACCTGTGTTTGCCACATATCTTGCGTTCTACAACATTGCCAGGAAAACAAAAGGAGTGATCTTCATAGGGAACCAGTGGGAGGATGGATGGTGAAAAAAAAATATTCAAAAAAATATTCAAAAAAA